ACTTTCAATGGAACCTCTACTATTCTTTCTGTTTGTTTTCTGTAGATTGGAGATACTGATAATCACTGTTCATTGTGATGTGCACTGTATAAATGCTCATTGTATACAGAGCATGCTGACAAAATATCCAGCTATTCGAACAGTAAACTTATGTCAAATTCTGCAAGCTGGCTGTAAATACAAGTGATTTCTAAAAGCTTATATGGCAACCTGATCAGACTTTCATAGTGACAAAAACCAACAACAAGAACAAAAACATGTTTTTAACCCCAGTACTATCACTTCTTACTATTTAAATTCCTGAGGCAAACTATGGAGCTTTAGAGTTTGTTTGTTTTTTAAAAAAGAAGAAAGAAAATACTTGGGTCTGTTGTTAAGCAGCTTTAATACCAGGCTCACTGTCATTATCCCCATATTATACAACTTTTAAAAAATAATAGGCAGGGACCACAGCAATCAAGGAAAGCTTCTGGTGTCATTATCGTCATAATAACATTATCAGTTCTTTAAAATGTCTCCCTTATGGTTATCTCTGTAGCTTTATCATAGTTCACTTTGAAAATGTAGCCTATAGGCTACATAGTTCACTTTGAAAATGTAACCTATAAACATAGGCTTATCTTTTTAATAAATTGTTGTTTATGTTACAGAAATTAGTTTTATTAGTTTTATTATTATTTATTATATTTTTATAAATGTACACTGATACAACTGCAGTTCCAGCAGACATGGGACCCAAACTGTAAAATCCAGCTAAAAACCTACATAGGCACAAGCACACACACCAGAACCTTGAGTTTTCAGAAAGGTAATATTAAACTAAGAATATGAGATCCAAGTCCAAATGTTCCTGAGGTTTAGACTTTAGAATGCCTTTCAGTGGGTAAATGTCATATGATGTAGGGCTTTAAGTGACAAAACAACACCTTTAAACTCCACCTGCAGTCCAGTAGATATTCAATGCAGATTACTTATCACTAGTATTTTCCAAATACCATTGGGTCATCAAGTTGCCATATTTTGCTGGGGTAATAAGGCTACTTTAAGGGTTTTAACTCTTGTAAGTAAAATGTGGTGGCTGCTTTCCTGCTTTGCTTTTAAAGAATCAGGCTTTAATTTAGAATACAAATAAATTTTATCATACAAAAGCCCCTTGATAGCTGCCAAGGTATGTTCCATTTCTTCAACTTTTTTCTTTTACTTTCCCTGAAGAAGTTGTTCTGTCAATTTATTTCATTTCAGCTGAGGAAAATGCGAAGGAATAAACAGGTTGACACAGATGGTTGTCAGGAAAGTGATGACTGCAGTTGAGAATGGGTGTACAAAAATATACAGATCGCTGTGTATTGTTTAGCTTCTCTGTATAAAGTGCCAAAAGAAAAGAGACTTGGAGACTATTTTCAGAACACCACTTTTTAGTAAGTTATTGTTAAAAAAAATGTAGTCAGAACTGTAGAAAGAAATTATAATGTGGAAAACTCTAAAGGGAATAAACTCTGAGTCCAAAAGGTGGGTTTTTTCCCCCACAAGGCAAAACCAGAGTTGCTTAAATCCATGTTAAGGTACCTAAGGCCAGGTTCAGAAAAATGACTTAAGCACCTACACAGGTTTTGGACAGTATTAGGGCTCCTGAATCTAAAACTGTGATTGAATTCTCTCCCCAGTTATACACATACAGGGCATGTCCAGATGAGCCCGCACATGTCTCTTGCCACATCTCAAAGCAATTTGAGACACTGCAAGAGGAAGGCTGGGAGTAAAAAAATGTTCCCCATGCTTCAAATATGCAGCACAGGCTCAAAATTTGATACCTAAAAATCCCTGCTTACAGGGACCATGTGTTGCGCTGGGCTGTGCCCTGCATGCACGGGCCCCTTGAAACTTTGGGCCAGGCTGGTTCTGTGCAGGCAGAATCCAGCCTGGCATGACACACGATCCCTGCAAGAGTCTCTGGGCCCCGGGTGACAACCCAAGCACCCCAGAGCTGCCCAAAGGTGCACGGCCCCATGCTGAGCCAGGCCAGGCCCAGGCAGTGCTGGGTGCCAGGTAGGCTTGGCCACACTGCCCTGTGCCACAGTGGGGGCTGTGCCAGGAGGGTCCTGAGCTCCTGGGGACATGTAGGGGAGCATGTGGGCCCTGTGGGGGGATGGCATGTGTGAGTACATTTAGGCCTTGCAGGGGGGTATGTAGGCCATGCAGCGGGGCATGTGTGCCCTGTGGGGGGGACATGTGCCCTGTGTGGGGAAGCTCTGGGGGTGGGCCCTTTGGTGGGGCAGTCCATGTGCTGCGCCAGGGAGCTGCACCTTGTGGGGGGCAGGGGACTCACCCCACCTGAGCAGCCCCCCCACACCCACATTTCCCCCCACAACACCCACACCCTTAAGCCACTCCCACAAACCCCTCACCCACATACCCAGCCATAAAACCCAAATCCATGCACAAGCCGCATACCCCCGCAAACCTCACCACCACAAACTCCTCCAACCCCCCACCTTCAAATTGCTTTACATTCATAAATATATTAATAAAACATTGCCCAACTGATCTCTCTATATATAGTGGTTTTTCATTTTATAGCAGAAGAACGCTATTTTGGGTATTTTAATGAGAGAATTTGGGTTTATTATCAGAGTATTTGTAATTCTTAAACAGGGAACACCAGGCTCTCTGCTGGTAAAAAAAAGTGGCAAGACCCTTGCAGAGGAGTGTGTCCAGGGCCAGCACTGTGGACCCAGCTGCAGGGCAGATGAGGTGGCTGACCTCTTGGCCATTTGGGGCCAAGAGAGAACACTTTGACAATTCAAAGTAGGCCACCACAAGGAGCACATCTTCTAGGCAATAGCTGCCCAGATGACAAAGTGGGGGCACCCCATCTGGGTCTGACAGGTATGCAGCCATGAAGCCACAAGTCCAAGGTGGGGATGCTGTCTCAGGTGGCAGCAGGTCACAGCCAGGCAGCAGCCTCCACTGCCAGACTGCAGCAGTGGTTAGAGAGTGCAGGAGCAGTCCAGCTGGCACAAGGGGTAGTGTCCCCAGATACCAAGTGGCTGGGCCTCAGAAGCTCCCAAGGGCAAGTAGCCGTGAGCTGATCACCAAGACAAGTTTTTATATTGCTGGGGCTAGCACAGGGCAGTTTTTATACTGCAGGGGCCAGCACCTGGCTGCAGATCTGGGAGGAGCTGGGCAGGGTCATTTTGGCCCAAGTGACACAATTGCCCTACACCAAAGTGAATGTCCAGGCACGTGCGCTGAGGCAAAAATCCCCTGCACAAATTTGTGCGTCTCTTATTTGAGCTGCTGCAAGCGCATGTGCCTGCACATGTAGACATACCCACACAGGGCTCCTGCCAAACCCTCAGAGAACCTAACCTTACTAACCACCTGTTTGACCTGAAGTTCTTTACCATCCACAGTTCTGCTTTTTTGCATAGCCAGAATTGTCCCAGTTTGAACAGCTGGGCACTTGGCTGTAGCAGAGAACCTTAGGACAGCATACCCCTGTAGACTAATGTCTAGGCAGAGATTTGACCCTACAGTCCACACCTGGCCCATGGACTCCTTGTGCACTGGAATGCTGCCACTTAACCTCCATCACTGCAGCTGCGGTGCTAAAACAGGAGCTCCAGCTGCCATGTCAATGGAAGTTAAATGGCAGCAGTGACATTAACTCCTTTAGTGCTGGTGCCAAAAGAGGCTTGTTCACTACTGGCAGCTGTGGTGAAAAGCCCCATAGGTTGAATGACCCACCTCTGCAGGCTGAACCTACACTGTGGCACTGCTTCCCCTGGGAGTGGAAGATGTCCCTCTTTAGCCTAGTGGTTGGGGCATTCTCTTGGAAGGTGAAACGTACTTTTTGAATACAGGTTTCCCTTGCTTTATTCTGTATATGCATTCCTGGAAAATGGTGTATAACTTGAATTCTCATAAAGGGAACTCACTTCACAATGTAACAAATAGGGATACGTTCCAAGACCTTGACTGTACTGACCCCCAGACCCATTTCTACCACTTTTACAAGACAATTTTTTTACTCACCAGCAGTAGAGAGGGGTAGGAGATAAACTAGTGGGATGCTTAGAAGCCATAATGGGGATGGCAACTACAGAAACACGTGTCACAGACAACAAGCGAGGAGCACAAATCCACACAGTTGGCTATATTTTGGTGTGTGTCACTCCCACAATGCACTGCACAAAGCAGCTAACTGTGGGCTTCCACCATACCAATCACATAAGAGTGAATTTACCTCACCTATAACAAATTTTTGGTATAGAAAGTGTCATTGCATAAGAGCAATGTGGATTTTTAGTTACTTTTTTTTAACCTGAAAATTGAGGAATTTTTTTTATCAGAGAATACCAGAATCCCTGGTTCTCAGCAACAGTGAAGTTCTTCTCTTGTGATGTAATGCATAAATCATCAGGATATATGAAGTTCATTGTATTTCTCTGTATGGGCTGGTTATTCATATACCTATATTAAAAAGGATGAGTGCTAGCACACTACCCTGTGGGAGGCCATTTTGTTGTACTCTCTAGAAGCTCCATTTCTTGCAAAGTCCTATGTAAAAACATCTGTTCTCCAAAAGAGATTGGATGAGCTACACTAAGTGATAGTCATGCATCATCTCATAGACTTTGGCAAGCATATTTTGGTGGCTGACCGTGTTGTATGCCACTGATTAGTCTACAAACACAGCACTTATTATCATGCCTTTCTCAAATCCACCTTCTATAAGCTGAGTGATGTTAAGTATTTGGCCAGTGTAGGACTTGCCTGGTCTAAATCCAGCTTGTTCTGGTATTAGATGTTGTTCAATAGGAGGTGAAAGGTGATTAAGAATAAGAAGTTTGTAAAATGTATAAAGATGGCACAGAAGAAACACTGGTCTAAAGTTTCATGGGTTTCATAGATTTCATAGACATTAGGGGCTGGAAGGGACCTTGTGAGATCATCAAATCCGGCCCCCCTGCCAGAGGCAGGAAGTCTGCAGGGATCAGATGATCCCAGAAAGATAAACATCCAAATGCCTTTTGAATGAGTGTAGAGTAGGTGCTTGCATCGCCTCTGGATGGAGTCTGTTCCAGATCTTGGACACTCGGACTGTAAAGAAGTTTTTCCTTATATCAAGTCTGAATCAGCCTTCTAGAAGCTTGTGGCCGTTAGACCTAGTAAGTTGTCTGGGCCAGAGGCATACTTGCCTGGTTTTAATAGAGTTATTACACAGGCTTGTCACCATAGTTTAGGTATTCTAAGGGTTGATGAGCAATTGCTAAAAAGGCACAAAACCCATAACTTGGGTGCAGGACCAAAATGCCTGTTCTGCTCCATGCATATGGCATTGAGTCCAGCTGCTTTGCTGTTCTTCAGGTGACTTTATTCTAATGTCAAGTTCATCCATTGTGTATGGTGTACTAAAAAGATTTTCCTCCAGATCAGTTTGACATCTAATCCATAGTTTAGGCTGTTTGTTCAAAGCTTTACCATTGAGTAGAAGCTGGTGAGCCACCTGATTGGCTGTGATGTTGTGGTATTACTGTACTTTCTTCAAGTCATTATTCAGTTTGTGAATGGTTAATCATGCTTTCCTGCTAGTACGGGTCATATGTGAAATAAACAACAGCTAATTTACCACAGCTTAGCTTCCACTTACAGAAGAATGGTGTAGATAAGAAATAATTATCACAAATCAGCTGACACATGATAAGGTCCTCACTACCACCATTTTTAACTTAGTATAATATATTCATTTGTCCACACTTTCACATAAACTAGAGAAATGTATTGAAAAGCAACCCTTTCTTTAAGGAAACAAATTAAAAATCATTCTCAATTTGGTTACATTCTATGTCAATTTTAGTCATTGAGGGAATACAGACCTTAACCTAGTAGAAAATTGCTCCATTTTGATCAAAATTAACATGAAAAACTATCTTAAACTGGTACATTGAAACCCCAATGCAGACACAATCATATGAACTTAAACATTGCTTGTGTTAGCTTAGCTAATTTAAATATACCTGCATTAGGATTTTGCACCAATTTAACTAGATTGATTTTTAATTTGTTTTGTCTAAATTAATGCTATTTTCTAGTAAAGACAATTTTGGAAATGTCATTTGGAAGAAGGGGCTGCTAAATTTGCTTTTTTTCTTGATACCTGGCAGCTTTTCAGAATTGTATTACAGTCAGTGAAAACACAAGATGAGTAGCACTCTACCCTCAGATCAGTAGGTACTCAGTTATCTGAATCTTTCCAATGGAACCCCTATTGAGTTAAATGCATTACTAATATAAACCCATGAAAATCACTTTAATTTCACCAGGAATATATGTGTTGTTCCTTGTTGTTTGTGTTCAGTGTAAATATATGTTTTCATGTTAAAGACAAATTGGTAAATACACCTGTGTTGTCATTCATTAATTTAATATCCTTTCTTTTCCTAAGCCAATCTCTCCATTAATTCCAGAGATCACAAACTAACACATATTCATTTAAAATTATATATGATGTTTAAAATAGCTTCTCTCAGCTGTGTGAGCTCCCCTTCTTGCTAGTATAATGGGGATAAAAGAAAAAAACAACTCAGTCACAAAAAAATGTGTGGAGGAAATGAATTTCTCTTATTTTGCCTAATCATTAATAAATGAGGTTATTTTCCCCTCTGGCTCCTGAAATTAGACGTGACACAACACCTTAACACAATCAGTTTGTTCTGAGACCTTCATAATAGTAGCCCATCTGCTAGGAAACATAAAGATAATTCATTATATGCCTGGTAATTACTTTCAATGCAACATAAAGAGATTGTATGCACAACTTCTTAGAGTTAAACATGCTGTCAGAGAGAATACCTTGATATCTAGGAATAAATGGGGTTCAAAAAAGGTGATAGCTAATAAGAACATTTAAACATTTCTACAGAAAAATACACCTTCTACCTTATCTTCAACAGCACTAACTGCAAAGAAACCCAAAAGATTTGTATCAGATTTTCTGCATGCTCCTGTTGAACTTCTCCACTGAGGCAGATTCTTTTCCATGTCCAGCCTCATTAAGAGTGGCAATAGTAAATATGAAGTGCATGTTCTCTTGTAAAAAAGGAAGACCAAAAAGACGTATCTTGAAACCCAGGTTTGAGACTAATCCTTCTGGCTACGTCCCAGACCTCAAGAAGTCTAGAAGTGCTAAGCCCTAAAGAGATTTTCCACATGATTGAATAGTGACTGCTAAAGCCTAGAAGAGTGGTATGAGCAGATTTTGGAGTGGGGCTCTTTTGTTTCTTTAACATAAAAATGTCAGATACAGCCATGAAGAATGCACAGAAAGGGAATAAGTAACAAACTGAAAGAGATTGTTTAGTCATTTGGTTCTCCTGATATTCCATGATTCCCATGGGTATTCCATGATGTCCCATTATTCCAAGTACTAAAATAGATACAAATATTTGTAGCAGACTAAAATCTGTTTTTTATATATTTTCACATGTTGTTTGATATTCTAACCAGACCACTTTTTAGGGGCAAATCTAAATCGTTCCCATAAGTTCCTAAATAGGACTTAGTCTTGTAAGTCATAAAATATTCATCTAGGTCAGTCCCACAAAACTGCTTATGTATATAGAATTTTTTAGGTACCTCCATTTCATCCTGAAAAGTTCCCAAAGTATCTAGACTTAGGTGTCTTCATACACGCAGAATAAATCCAGATCAAACAGCTAGATTCATAACTCCCGCTCATATTCTTTTGCAATCCAGAATGGAGCTGGGAGGTGCCTTAATATCAACTAGATCCCAAAAATGTTAGATATTCATAAAGCATCCCTAAGATCTGATTGACAATAAAAAGCACTGAATTCAGTCCAGTTTTGTACAATAGCCTAGAGCAATTGCTCAAGAATGGAAAAATTAGAAAGGTTTCATACCCACATCTCCTACTTCCCAACAGAATGCTCTAACAAGTAGGCTATGAGCTAGGTAGAATATGGACCCTTCTACCCTATACTGAAGTTGTGCCACTGGTTAGAAAAAAAATGTAAAATACCTGGAGCCAGAAGAGCAAATAGTGTCCAATAGGCCACATCTACACAAGACGCTGACTGCGCAGCTGTTACTAAACAAGTACTAAATGACAGTTGCACTGAGGAACTTTTTTCATGACACTCATGACTACTGTGCAGTAGCATCACATCACACTTCCTGCCATGCAATGCTACTGTCCAGTAGTCACAAGATACTGCACATTCAGTGTCTCATGCAGACATGGCCATAAGGTCTCTTTCTGGAAAGGAGAGACCTGTATTCTGATCCCTGTTGCCAGGGTTATTTCTGTCTCTTATCTGATGAATGTCTAATATAAAAATGCATAATCAGTTCTAAGAGTGGAGGCCAGAACTCAGGAATCCTACCCTGCTGGGGAAGACCCCTCACTAGCTCATAAAACCAAGCCCTCTCTTGCTTGTTCTCCTTTGAGTCCCATGAATCTTGTTTTCCTTTCTCTCTAGCAGGAGAGGAGGACCAGACCATTTTATGTCCTCATGATCAGAGCATTCTCCTGAGAAGTGGGAGGTGTGGGCTTAAGTCCTTTCAGGATGACAAAGACTAGAACCCAGGTCCCTCACTTCCTAGGCAGCCCTGTGCAGGATGCTGAACAAAAGACATGTGGTTCCCACCACATGTCTCTTACTGAGTTGAACACAGCATGCAAAAGCTTGCCTAGCTTTAGAAGACCCATTGATATAGTTTCGTTTTTCCTGACTGCCAAACATTTTTACAATGGTTCATGTTAAACCCTTAAATTTGAAACCAGCCCTTGTCCAGGGCCTGGTGGAAGGATTACATTTACATTATGTAAAACATATATCAGTAAAAAGTTTGGTTGTCAGTAAAAAGTTTGCAGATTGTTGGTGGAAAAAAAATTGCCTTGGGTTGGCAGCCCTGATAGTTCTACCCGTATAACTGCATGCATGCCTAAAATTAGATGTGGTTAAAGGAATTGTCAAATCAGGCCTAATTATGGGCAGCAAAGTTTAATTACGAATAAGCAGGGGTTTCATAAACCTTGACCACAGGTTTCTGTATCCTCAAATATCAGAGGTCCTTAATACTTCCCAACTCTGAAAAAAATGTTGCCAGATTCTATTTCCATGAAGTTTTCCATAAAATAAAAGCAGAACCTGGGTTCTAACAGTTCTTCCTTTCCATTAGGATCTCTCACTGAGCTGAATACAGCATGCAAAAATTTGCCTAGCTTCAGAAGAGCCATTAATATAGTTTCATTCATTTTTGTATCATAGTCTGTACCCCTTGTCAATTACTGTCCTTAAAGTTTGAATGATACTATCAAAAATAGGGGTATCAAACCTGGACTTTAGTGGTCCCATCTGTCAATGAGATAATCCCCAATGACTTAAATGGGGTTAGGATTTCATCCTCAAATCAAACAATTAGGTTCTCCCTATATACATTTTTCTGTCCCTTACATAAGAATATTATTCTTCCTTGTAAGGAATTGATCAAAGTGTCATCTTTATACATAGTAAATATATACAAGGACTGGCATTCTCCTAGATTTTTGGTGTGCAAAATGTTACCTTTTATTCCACTCCAGAAATAGCTGCCCTTCATTTTCAGATAATAGATTTCCTGGGTATTTCAATTCAAGTTAAAATCATGGGTCATAAATATAAGAGTTTATTATGCAATCACTTTACATATTATTAATAACATGGCCCACAACGTTCTTTTCAAACTGTTTTAAGAAATTCAAAAAGTAATTAGCTGGAAAACCATTTGCTAAATGAAATGCTACTTTCCTTCACACATTTTTTATATTAAAAGGTTTACTGACATTTAATTTAGTCAATCTTGTTATTAAAAAGGTGAAAGGGGAAACTTCAGATTTAAGGAATAAGCTTATGATGCTACCCAGTCAAACAGGGTTGTATAAGCTTAGAAAGAAATGGGTGGCTACTGGGATATACAAAATGCCAGGTGTGCAGATTTCAGAAAAATCTTTTGTGATTAATTCTACCCAGATCTGTAACTAATTACTTCCATGTTCTGGATACAACTCCTGTGAGTTGGGGGTTGGAAGGCGTTGGGGAGGGGGTTGAAGGGGGCAAGTGTTTGAAACCAGGGTAGAAGGGGAGGAGGGTTGTTTTACCAGCTCTGAGTATTCCTACACCTTGTTTCTCCAGGTTTTTATTTTGGAAGTGGAGTCCTCCAACTTGGCTCCTTTAAGAAAGTTTCTGCCATGACAAAGACTAGTAGATGACAAGGGGCACCCTCTAAAAGTTGGTGCCCAGAGCTGGGGCCTCTCTCACCACTCCCTCCCCCCGCCCCCCCCGACAGTTATATCACAAATTCTACCATTCTGCAACATATCTTGATAGCTTCTCTAAGACCAGTTCAAGCAGAAATATCTTTTTTCCTTCTGCATTTTTCTAGCCTGCTTTGGTAGAAGACAGGAAAGAAATGTCCACCTGAACATAATTATTTTAAAACATTTCAGTCTTAACCACAAAGCTTGGTGAAACATTAATGACTGACAGCAACTCTGCATTTTTGGGAAAGGCTTGTTTCAGCAACAACAGAAAAGTGAGACAGCACCTAGTAATTAGGCCTGGCCATATGTACATGCATTGTTTAAATGATAGTATGCGTATCAGATATTTTACTCCAGACCCATCACTACTGCAATCTTTCCTCCTCCCATTTCTAAAGTAAGTGTGAATCCAAAGAGAAGATAAGGAAGGGTATCTGAAGTTTGAAGTCATTCATGACAAATCAGCTTCCCCCACAGGATATTTCAAGCTAAAAGGAACTTCCAGTGGCTGAAACAAACATGTCACATAAGAAGACCTAGGGGGACATGTCCAATGTATTGCCTAGGGTTTTAATCTCATAGATCCATTAACAGGTATCTATGGTTTAAATCCCGCTGCACCATTCCAAACATTTATGCCTTGAGATTTGCTTACAAAGAAAAAGAAACTCCTATGCAGGCTTCATCTTTAAAAAATCAAGAGATATGAAACCCAGAGGGCAACACATGGACATATTTTAATAGGTTAAGTAGTACAGTGGGGATGACACTAATATGCTGAGTTCTCTTTGTTCTATTTCAGTTGATCAACTTGCATACCCCAGCTCTAACTTTGCCCAACCAAATTTAGTCCATTTGGGGTTTTACATGTGGGAAATTTGTTTGAGAGAGAGAGGAGAAATTAGAAAAGGCATTTAGATTTTTTTCTCCCCTTTTAGAATGATTTTCTAAATTATTACTTATTTTGGAACAAAATGCTCCCAGCTTTGGGTGCTGAGTTAGTACTACTGTTGTTGGCTTGAATGTGTGTGTGGGAGGGAGAGGGAGTACATGTTAAGTAGCATTTTCAAATGCCACTTAACATTATTAGCAAAATCTTGGCCCTGTTGAAGGAAATGGGACATTTCTAAAGGATTTCAATGGACACCAGATTTTACCTGATGTGTTTTCAGAGGTACATACCAACTCTATGCATGCTTTTTAAAAGATGCATTGCCTGCTTTGGTAGAAAAGTTCAGATTGTAAGTTGATCTTTTCTGCTGGGAGTATATGAAATAGAGATGGGCAGTGAGAAAAGAAGAGGGGAGGTAAAAAGGATATGGAATGAGTTATCCAAATGAACATGAGAAGAGATTACCATATATTATGCTGGGAAAATCCTTTTAGTAGACTAAGGGCCTCCAAACCTCAGAACATCTATAAGGATATTACTCTGATATGGACATGTGCTTCTGCTGTATAATTATTGAGAAGAAAAATTAAAAGCCCAATTGTTGCTTGGTGTAGAGATTCTTTTTAAAAAGATGCTTCCTCCACAAAACATGTATTCAGGCGTTAAATGCTTTATCAGTCTGTGCACACTGCTAAAGTCCCCACTACAAGACCATTTGTCTTCCTCATGATTTAAAAAAAACCAACCCAACAATTGTTGCTCCTTGGTGTATCCTTGAAGTATTCTTTAGACACATATAGACCATTGTTATATTTAATTGAGAGGCATGTAATTAGATTTTATTTGGTCATATTGAATAATGTATCAAGATTGCTTCATTGAAGATGCTTTAGTGGCAACATTTCTTTGAATTAATATTTCCTAGAATTTGATTCAGATTCTCTTGCTTTCATAATCCTGTCCCACTGGTATTGAGATTCTGTTGGGCTCTATTCTTTGGCAAACATTCATTGATTTCCACCTTATTTTTTTAATCAGATTCTAATTCTTCTAGAGTTTTTACAAAGTCTACAAGAAGTCTGGAGTTTGTGGCACAGTCTTGAACATATGATCAAATGTTTGTTTCATGGCAAGTTTCATACAGAAATGACTCTTGTGTTACTGACTCTTTCATCATCATCTATCAAGTGCAATCTGCACAACTCACTCTATCTTTTTACTTTTTAGTAGTTCAGTGAAAAAAAGGAGGCAGTTTTTTCACATTCCCTTACAAAAAAAGAAAAGATTCTGCATAGACCACAGTAACTCTACCAATTAACCAAAATTATGTCCATATATATAACAGGTATGACTGCTATATCCATATATATATATATATATATATATA